TGCCGTCGCGCTAGAGCAGGAGGAGGGAGAGGGACGTAGCGGGGGGCGTGGCTCGTGGGAGAGGAGGACGCCGTGGTGGCGGAGGAGGATGCTGGTGTAGAGGAGCGCGATCGCCATCGGCTGGTGGAGGCAGCCGCATGCGACGGGGCTACACGGTGGACGCGGACGGCTAGGTGCGGATGAGAGGGAGCGAGCGTAGCGAGTGGGGAGACGCGTCTGGCTGCACGGACGCCCAGTTGAAATCATTATCGTTTCTATTTTCAACATATTATCCTATGTACTCATGCCACAAAAAAGACCAAAATACCCCTGTCTCTAATAAGAAGGATTCAACGTGGGGTGGGGACTCTACCTCACGGTCGCTCGATGTAACACCTCTGGTGTTTGGACCTAGAACTAAAACTTGGCATGTCATCATATGCATTGCAAATCATTCATAAAGTAGAAAATTTTGAATGCATTCACTAATAAGCTTTATTTCATAATGTTGTTATTTCATGTGATACGATTCAAAACCCTAAATAAAGATCATGACCACAAGGGTCAAAATTCATGTGATCATGTGAGGTCATGTGTCCTTTGACTCAAATAACCCTAATGGGCCATGTTACTGGTCAAAAATCAAAATTTAAGTAAAAGGAAGACAAATCAAATTTGAATTCAAATTCAAATTATAAAAGTCCTTTTTGCCCCTTTTGACTAATTCAAAATCCATGTGGAATTTAGGGTTGAGGCAAAAAGCAAAGTTGGATATTATTTTATAAGGATCAACTTTGGTATTCAAAGTTTTCAAAGTTTACATATAAAATTGGAGTAATTTTGAAATGATTCAAATACTCAAATGCACCCCAAATTCAAATTTCAAAATGGAGGCAGAATTTGAAAATGTTCCTTGAAGCAAAGTTGTAGAGTTTGAAAAAATTGAACAACTTTCATTTTGGAGATTTTCAACTTCTTTAGAAAATTTGAGAGTAATTTGATGGCGATTTCGTAAATAACTCAAAAATCAAGAAGGATTCAACGCCGGCGTTTTTGCGCCGCTTTCGCGGGGCGGGGTGCACGTGGCGGGCTTGAGCGTCTATCACGTCGCCGGGCAACCTTCTTCCCATTTATAAATATATGATCATGCCGCCGTCGTCCCGTTTTTCCCCTCGCTCGCTTCACCTCACAGTAGTCTAGCCGCCGCCGTAGCCATCGTCGAACCCCGTCGATCATGACCACGCCTCTGCCTCCTAGCCCGCCTCGCCTCACCGCTCATTCCCGACCTGCTCGCCTCGTTTCTACACAGCGACATCGTCTTCTTCGAGCCGTACCGAGGCTCGCGACCCACCTCACCGCGTGGCTGGGGTGATTCGAAGACGTCTCACTTTGCACAAGTACATCATCGTGATCACGGTGAGCTCTCGAGCGTGATGCTCGCTTCTTCTTTTGACTCTCATTGCACCGTAGCCATAGCTACGCCGACCGTCGCCAGCCACCATGCCCGCGAGTGGAGGTGTCTCCGGTGCACTTTTTCCTTTTTAATGGTGAGATCGGTTCGGGGAAAAGAATAGGTCATGAAGGTGCGGTCTGCGTCGAGCTTCACCGTCTGCTGCTGCGTTTTGCCGATCGGAGCAGACAAGCCGCCGCCCCTCGTCCTCTTTAGGTCACCGACAAGCGGGGCCCGGGCCAAGACGAGAGAGGAAGAAGAAAAAGATTGCAATTTTGCGAAATTTTGAATAGTCTTTGAATCTTTAGAAATTTGTAGGAAAATAATCATAGCTCCAAAAATTCTGAAATTTTGTGTGTAGCTTCTATACATGCTCTAGTATGGTTTAAAAATTTGAAACTTGAAATTTGAATAAATTTTTAATGTTCAAAAATTCAGTCCATTAATTAATAAATGCAATTTCCATGATTTTTGTAGGCCACTGTATAGATCCAAAAATTATGAAATTTATTTTGGTACACTAATTTATTATGAGGAAGCTTACATAAAATTTTGAGGTCATTTGGAACAAGTTTATTTTTGGGCTTATTTCAAATTAATTAAAATTGAATAAAAGCAACCTAATTGTTAGGGTTAGGATTTCATTTTTGTTTGGGTCAGGTTGTGTGACCAGTAGGGTTTCAAGATCCATTTGGTCAAGTCCCATGTATGGTTCTTGATGGTAGGATTGCAAGTTGGTTTTGTTGGCTTGCAAGCTGTCATTGTGAAATAAAATCATTTATGGGTGTTGTTACATTTCATGTACCGTGAAAGCATCATGTTTACATTATCATCATATTGAAGCATATGTTATTATTTCATGTAGAACCCAGTGAAACGATTCTAGTTGAGCAAGTTACGGAAGGATCCCCGGTTGTCACGGGATTTGATAATTGTGGTAATCGATCCGAACCGAGATCATCAACTAAGGCAAGCCCCTGTTTATGCATTACACCATTACCTTGTTTACTTTGAAAAGTTTATCACTTACGCCATTAAGTTGTTTATTCAAATGTTACCTACTTGATGCATTGCCTACCTTGTTAATTGTGAAGAGATTTTTTGTAGAATTGCTTTATGCTTTATGGTAGGCTTTTCAAAGTAAAAGTTTTGATATAATCCCAATGAGTGAAAAGAAGAAAGAAGGAAGGTAGAATGAATTAGAAAAGGATGGCTTATCTTGAAGAAATCTGTAGAAAGGCCACTCATTGTGGATCAACGAGACAAAGAACGGGTACTTGTTAAACATTAAGAAACATTTGTGAATTGGATGTCAAATGTAGAGAGTCGTGTGAATTAAGGGTTAATGCTGGGAGGATCAATTTTTCTCTAAGTCTCATATCGCCTTCAGTGGGACTTGAATCAATTGAATTTTTTTCCATTCCTGAAGCAATGTATGTATACTAAAACATGAGAAAAAGAATTGAGAAGGATTGGAACATGGGATATGAACACTTAGTTGGAGATATTGAACTAAAATACTTAGTGGTAAAACTTGAAACTAGGATCAAGAATAGTAAGCTGTTGGCAAAGAATTTTTGAATCTTTCTATATCCTTACCTTGACCCCTCATCCTTCCTCCTGCGGGTCGGTCTTGTTGAGTACTTTTGTACTCGGGGTTTGTTAACCCTTTTTGTGACGCATGTGAGCTTGTTTTGGTCCCTCTCTTCGTATGAAGTCGATGACGATGAGGAATGATGAATGGCCTTTGGACAAGGCACTAGTTTGTGTGAAATAAATAATGTTAATGTAATATTATCTCACTACTATGGTTGTATGACACTTATGGTTAGTAGTTTGAAACAACGTTTGTAATATTAAACTTAAGAACTCACGGAGGCCGTGGGAGATCCGGGACCTGGTGGCGTCGTTGCACCACCATAGGTAGTTGGTATTTTGACGATGTCGTGCATCGCTTTGAAAGGTGCTGCGGAGCAACTTTGAGTTCTCGAGGCTGTTGAGAGCTACCGACCGACTACTTTGCGGTGACCTACCCACCACCTGTTCTCCCCATGCGTGTTGGGCCATCTCCGACTATCTATACTAGATCAAGGCCCATAGCAATCCGAGTCCTAACTGCGAGTAGGCCGCGGGGACGACCCCATCCCAAAGAGGCTTTTATATGTGTGCCATTAAAAAAGTTTAAAATTACACATAGGTCATTAAAAAAGAAAAGGAGCACACATATAGAAATCCCTCGAATCAAAACTTCTTTGTTCTCCAAGCCATTTGTGAATTGCTTTTTCTAATGTAGAGAGATTGTCGGTGAAGATAGGGTGAAATGACCATTTTATCTAAGTCTCTATGGCTTCTCTAGTTTTTTTCCATCTGTATGTATCCGCAAGCTTCGAAGAAGGCGAGCTGCGTGCCGCCATCCCGGCTCGCTGCGCCCTTGTGCACGCCGCCTGGCTGCTGCGCACCCCAAGAAGAAGGAGATGGCGGAGTCAGAAGCAGCAACTCACGAGCCCCGACAAAGAACGCCGAGGGCCCCGGGAGGTGGAGAAAACTGCTCTACCACCATAGGTGGTCGACGGCGGTGTGCAAGGGCAACTTTGAGTTCGAGCTACGACCAGGCGACGCGACGTCTTGGAGCCAGCTCCGACTATCTATACTAGATCAAGGCCCATAGCAATCCGAGTCCTAATCATGAGTGGAGGACGACGACCCCATCCCAAAGAGGCTTTTATATGTGTGAGAAATTACACACGTGCCATTAAAAAGGACGATATGCCGGAACTTCTTTGTTCTCCAAGCTATTCCGTCCGCTTTTTCTACTTAACGGTGTCAAACAGATAGGTGAAATGACCATTTTATCCTACGGTGGGCTCCGTTTGTCGCCCACGATGTTTCGGCGCGAGGTGCAAAAAGGCGCCTCCGCGCCGCCATGGCCAAGAAGGAGATGGCGGGGGCGCTGAGTGACGAGCCCCCGGCAAGAACGCCGAGGGGCCCGGCGGAGGAGGCGGCCTCGTCCCCAACGGGGGCGAAGGGAGGCGACATACGTGGAGCTTCGCCCCGGTCCTAGTTGTGGATCTCGAGGGGGCAAGGTGAGGTGGAGTGTGAGGAGATCCGCTACAGCCGCGGGCGGGCGTAAGCCTCCGCCCGGCCACCTCGGGCGTGGGCAACCATGGGCTGCTGGGCTCGGCCATTGCCGTGGTGGGTGCATGAAGCGAGCGGCAGGCTAAGCCTTGGCTGAGCTGGCGAAGCGAGAGAGAGAGAGAGATGAGGTCGAGTTTGAGAGAGAGGATAGGGATGAGAGATGTATTATGGACGTTTTGACTGACCGGACCTACTCACAGGACTCCCAACCAGTAAAAAATCTAACGAAATGCGTCGGTAAACTTTTTTTTAATGACCTATATATAATTACCAACTTTTTTTTAATGCGCCTCCATCCCAAAAGCCCCGTTTCGCAGACCCGCGACTTCCCGGTTTCTCCCCACGCCTCACGCCGGCTCCCCCTCCCCGGCTACCCGTTCCGGGGCTCCATCCACTGCCCTCCGGCTTCGTTCCTCCAGCTCCACTCCCCGGCGGCATGAAGGTAAGAGACGTCTGTGCTTCCTCCCCTCCGTTCGATTCCCCCTCGTGCATCCTCCTGCGGCGCCTGCCGCTCCGAACTCCCGGTTCGGATGCTGTTGGTCTTCCCGCGGGCGCCAGGTGTTCGACGTCGTGCCTCACTGGGTGCGTCCGTGCAGATCGCGGTGGAGGGGTGTATGCACGGGGAGCTGGACATAGTCTACGACACGCTGCGAAAGCTCGAGGATGCCGAGGGCGTAAAGATTGACCTCCTCCTCTGCTGCGGCGATTTCCAGGTACGCTCCGCATCCCCTCTCGATTTCTGAGCGGGGAGTTCCGTTTGAATTAACGTTTGTTCGCATGGATGGGAAACGGGAGAAACAACTGCCGTATTTGTAAATATTTGGTAGTAGTTCTCTACTAGATGTAATATATCTCACTTCTGACGTTGCATTATTCTTCCAGGCTGTTAGGAATGAGAACGATTTACAGTGTGTTAACGTCCCACAAAAGTACCGTACCATGAACTCATTTTGGAAGTACTACTCTGGAGAAGCAGTTGCTCCGTACCCAACCATCTTTATCGGTGGAAACCACGAAGCATCCAATTATCTGTGGGAATTGTGAGTCTTTGCAATTTCTATAATTTGTGGTTTCCCCTTTGCCCCTAGGTTTTTAACACATCCTCAAATTCATGTTTGTTTACAAATAACTAGAATTTGTGATAATAAAATTGTGAAAACTGAATTTCGTACTATGAACCTTTTTGTAGCATAAGTGCATAACTAAGGGCCTGTTTCCCTCAGCTAGCAGCTAACTATTATCACTAATGGATCCAAACAGAGCCTAAGTAACTACCGCTGTTGAAATTATGATATTCAGTTGCCACCTCTGTAGTCCATTAGTTCAGGTTTCCATCTGTAGTCAGTATATGGAGCACATAAAAACAGAGGCATGTGAATGAATAGATCCCACTCTTGAATGAAGTTGTTTCGAGATTCGGACTTTCTTGTAATTTACATCCCAGTTAAAAATTATTTGCAAGGAGATTAACAGTATACTTTGAGTACAACCTTTCAGTACTTTATCTATAGTTGATGCGTTTTTTTTTTTGCGCATTGGAAAATGTAATGACTATTTATCAGGTACTATGGAGGATGGGCAGCACCTAACATATACTTTTTGGGGTTTGCTGGTGTTGTTAAGTTTGGAAACATACGAATTGGTGGATTGTCAGGAATATATAACAAATACCGTTATCATTTAGGCAAGTCTGTTTTTGTTTTACTTGTGATACTTGGATTTGTTATTTTTTAACCTTGCATCTAGTGGAAACTATCATATAAGGGCAGAAAACTAATGAAAAATGATCCAACTGTAACTTTTTGTGCATTGAGTAACCCAAGCTTATTGCTACCTATGCAGGACACTACGAGAGGCCTCCATACAATGAAGATACTATACGGTCTGTGTACCATGTAAGGCATTATGATGTTCTCAAGCTCATGCATTTGGAGGAGCCGCTAGATGTATTCTTGTCACATGATTGGCCTCTGGGCATCACTGAGTATGGAAACTGGCAGAAGCTCATTAGTGTGAAGAAGCACTTTGAAGAAGAGGTAATGTACACTGGCTTATGAGATTGGCTTATTTTAAAGCTTAATGGCATGGCATTATTACTTCCCCTATACCATATAGTTCATCAAAATGTCTCGTGACAGATTCAATTTTAGTGTGCTAGAACACTGCATGATTCATTTGGAGACTTAACCAAACAAGTGACATTAACAACTGGTGTCACAATTTTCACAGGCAATAATACATCTCTTTTTAATGTCGCAAGATCAGAACCCTGTTAGTTCTAGAATATGTACTGGTCCGAATAATAAATCTTGCTAGGACTTAGGTGAAACATGGGCACCTGGCCAACTTATCTGTTGTTTTCTTCAGACTCTTGGGTCTTGACTTCCTGGGCTAGGGGTTCCCTTCAGATTCTCGAGTCTTGCCTTTTTCTTTACCAGGGCTAACTATCTAATCTATCCCTCCCCCTCCTGTGAATGCCCTTGCTCTTGCTGTGCTTTGAAATTGTGCACCTTCTTTGGATCCAACTTTGTTGTCTGCTTTTATTCTGTACCTAGAAAAATATCCTTGTACATGATGACCGTTGTGTAGGTCAGCCTGTAGGGTTAATGTCCTTAGGTTTCCTTCTTTTAGTTTGGCACATGCACCGAATTTGACAGTTTGAGTGAATTTAATTTCTTACAACGAACATCTTTCATTCTTCTGTAACTCATATAGTCATATTCATATATCTTCTGGAATGCAAATTTTATATTATAATCAATGCTTATTTATTTTTCCAGGTTAACAATAGAACACTGGGCAGCAAACCTGCAGCTGAATTACTGAACAAACTAAAACCACCATACTGGTTTTCGGGGCACCTTCACTGTAAGTTCCCTGCGATCATCCAGCATGGAAAGAATGGACCTACGACGAAGTTTCTTGCGCTTGATAAGTGCATTCCTGGGCGCAATTTTTTGCAGGTGCTCTCATTTCTTTCAGGATACTTTCCATCATTATAAATAAAAGTTTTGTAGTACATGTTTGTTTCTGAAGTTATCCATTCCATTTTAGGTTATAGACATTCCATCCAATCCAGGACCATATGAAATCCAGTATGATGAAGAATGGCTTGCAATAACACGAAAATTCAACAGTATTTTCCCCTTAGCACAGACACGATTTACTATGCGGTTGGTTCATATAATATCTTTATTCGTTAGCAGTTTAGCACATAGTCCATGCTCTGAAAAATTTGTAGCCACTGCTAAATCTGGAGATGTTCAACTTTTTTTTTTACTTAAAAGGGATGAGCAGCTTGACACTGAAGAAGACCGGCAATGGGTCAGGAACAAGTTGAATACTAGAGGAGCTAAGCCTTTTGATTTTGTCCAGACTGCACCATCTTTCAATCCTTCCAGTACAATATCTAAACACCCTATAACTGGTAAGTTTGAATATTCACTTGTGACTTAATCAGCTACTTATAGTTTTTATTGGGCTATATATTGTTCAGTCCTTTAAGTTTGGTCTTACACATCGCACATTTCCTTTAAACCCAATGGCTTTTCTATCAATAATCAAAACTAGGAAAAAATAGTTGTGATTCTGATAATTTCGTCTTTCCATCTGGATGTTAACTTTATTTTTTTAAGACCATACTTGCGATAAAGTTTGGATCTATTTTCCTTTCTTACCAAAGTTCTGACATAGCATTTCACATTTCTTCTCTGTTATACACAGTTTGCTGCAGGAACCCACAAACTGAGTCTTTTCTTCAGCTTCTGGAACTCCCATATCTGCTGGACTCGTCTAACTCTGAGGGTCATTATCTAAAAAAATCTAACTCGGAGGGTATGTCTCTTGTGAGTGGTTAATATCATTTCCGTTAATATTTAAGCACTTTATTTCATACATATGTAAAGAGGAGAACTACTGGTCTCATTGACTTTCCTCTGTAGACAGTTGATACTATCACTTGTGCTTCTAGATTTTTTATAATTTATGGTTTCTCAACTTTCGATCTACAGGGTTTGGTAGAAACGAGTCAAGCTCTCAGCCAGGAAACACACTTGATGATGAAGATATAGAGCTACCAGATGAAGATGAACACGCTTTAGAAGATGATGAGTGAAGGACAGCACTGTTGGACAAGTAGCATTGTACCTATCAGTTGATCACAATGCCAACTCTCTTTGGTGTTGAGTTCATACTGATTTTTCAACTAAGTACAATTAATCACTAGATGCATTTGGTGGAAAATGTAAACCAAAATAGCATCTACTAGCAAAGTAGAGATCAGCTATATAAAACATATATTTGGAACCTGTGTGCGTGACTACTAACTACTAGCCCTAGCTAGTCCCTTTTCATTTCTACAGAAGACTTTTATGCAGCCTGTTCGTTTGGCTGTGGCTTGTCATAAACGATCGTAAATTTTCAGCCGGAACAGTATCTTTCTCTCACACAAACCAGCCAGCAGTACTTTTTCACGAACCAGCAACGAAACGAACCAGCCAACCGAACAGGCTGATGAATGATGAATACGCAGACCACTTTATTTATGTACATTTACTTGTCTCATTCCAAAGGTACATTTGTTTCCCACGATGTCTCTATCAACTTTACTTATTTTCATCCAGCTTACTATCTTAGCACATCATGCTTTATTATGACAGGGCAGTTTGGGGCTGAACAACGTTTTCCCCAAATCTGTGGTTACAGCTGAAACCAGGCCGCAGAAGTTACTAAGGTCCCGTTTGGCTACGAGAAAGATTCTAGAAATTTGGATTCTAGATATGCATTCTAGAATCTAGATTCTAGATAAGAAAAATCCTACACCTGTTTGGATTGTGGATTCGTTGGAGATTCTAGCTATTTCAAGCCTTGTTTTCTCAATAATACCCTCAAACATTTCGTACTCCTAATGTCCAGCAATGCAACATGCATCTACTAGAAAAGATAGTTAATGGCCAAGGCACAACTCTGCTATCTGGTTGGTTTTTATTACAGAAACACAATGCAACAAATTACATGCTGGCTACTACATTTTGAAGCAATTTAATAACATGTAAAACCAAATTTTCACTAACAGACCAGAATCCAACCCGTTTGGATCTATCACGGATTTTTTTAATCCCAAATCCAAAATCCCAAGGGGATTCAGACGGGCCCTTAGCATATGCCTGCGGCAGATCACAAGATATACAGGGGGAAAAAATCCACATTTCAAACCAACCTACCGTCTGAAAAGTGAAAACACCCTGTCGCCGTTCTTCGAGCGTTCTGAATTTCTGATTGCTTTTCCCCACAGCCGCCCAGCGCCTTCAACGAACGACGTTGCCAACGCCCAACGCCTGGTTACGCCACCACCCGGCCCCGCCGCCGCCCCCGCCGCAGCACCCCCCCGCGGCCCACGCGAACCAAACCCGCCCAGCGCCCCAGACGCCACGCACCACACACACCCAATCGAGAGCCCAACCCGACCTGACCCGATTTGGAAAGGAGGGTTGTCGCCTCGCGTCGCCTCCCTCTGGTTCCGGCGGCTATGGCGGTGGCGGCCCCTGGCCAGCTCAACCTCGACGAGGCCCCGTCATGGGGCTCCCGCAGCGTCGACTGCTTCGAGAAGCTGGAGCAGATCGGCGAGGGCACCTACGGGTAACCTCCGCCTCTCCCATCCTATCCGCCCTAATCGATCTGGTGATTACTCTACCTGTCTACTCGCCTAATTCCTCGATTCGCTTCGTTCCGCGGCCGCCGCCGGCAGGCAAGTGTACATGGCGAAGGAGACGGGCACCAACGAGATCGTCGCGCTTAAGAAGATCCGCATGGACAACGAGCGCGAAGGGGTGAGTCTGTTCTCCCCACTACTTCCTCTCGCGGCTTCGTTTTCGGCTCTGACCTGGTTGTGTCGCCGCAGTTCCCGATCACCGCCATACGCGAGATCAAGATCCTGAAGAAGCTTCACCACCAGAACGTTATCAAGCTCAAGGAGATCGTCACCTCCCCAGGTGGTTACAACCACAAGTAAAATGAATTAGATGTGTATATGCCTACTGGCTTTTTGTCCTTTTGTCCTCTGGGCTGACGATTGGATTGGGGGAATTGTTGCAGGCCCAGAGCGGGACGAGCAAGGGAAACCAAGTATGGCGACCTCTATTCTTGTGATTGAGTTCCACTGCTTTGTTTTTTGGTTAAGTTAGAGCAGTAGTAATGGTTGGTACAAATTGTTGTGTTTTTGAATTATTAGTTGACGGTAACAAGTACAAGGGGAGCATTTACATGGTTTTTGAGTATATGGACCATGACCTCACCGGGCTTGCTGATCGGCCAGGAATGCGGTTCACTGTGCCACAGATTAAGGTATAACCACCTATCCAAGTAACTGGCAGTGCTTTGCTTTGGATGTGTCATGGTTTTATCCCTGATGAAATGCCTTGTTCCAGTGTTACATGAGGCAGCTGCTTACAGGCCTGCACTATTGTCATGTCAACCAAGTTCTGCATCGAGATATCAAAGGTCTTAGCTGCGCACATCTCTGCTGGTTTTTTCTTGTTTTCCTTATTCCTGTTATTTGTGTCTTGTTAAGCTAACATATTGTATTCGATACTTCGTTTGTAGGATCTAACCTCTTGATAGACAATGAGGGTAACTTGAAGCTTGCTGATTTCGGCCTTGCAAGATCATTCTCGAGTGATCACAATGGAAACCTTACTAACCGTGTGATCACTTTGTGGTATAGGTATTGTCTATTTTCACAGGTTTTGTTATCGTATTTACAGTTGTTATCGCAAGCTTCTTATTGTCTTCTTGGATTGTGGCTGCAGACCTCCAGAGTTGCTACTTGGAAGCACAAAGTATGGTCCAGCTGTTGACATGTGGTCAGTGGGCTGTATTTTTGCAGAACTTCTCAATGGGAAGCCAATATTGCCTGGAAAGAATGAGGTAGACTTTTTTTTTTCAGGCCTTCGTGTGTTAGTTTCCGTTGTTTTCAGTATTGCCACTTACAAATCTGTGAGCCTACAAGTTTACTTGAGCCCCTTTCTGTTACGCCTTGGTTAAATAAACTGCCGGCTATTATGTATGCTGTTCCATTCATGCAATGATCAGCCAAAGCCTTGATCATACGCTGATCAGTATATATTATACTTCAGATCTTTAGTTGTCTTGTGGCATAGTTTTCCATCATGGCCTTGATTGTAGTTACAACTTACAATCGCATCTCCTTCTGATGTTTTGCTATTCCTGCAGCCAGAGCAGCTGACTAAGATCTTCGAGCTTTGTGGTACCCCTGATGACCAAATCTGGCCTGGTGTCACAAAAATGCCATGGTACAACAACTTCAAGCCTCCCCGGCCATTAAAGAGACGAGTTAAAGAGTTATTTAAACAGTGAGTGATACATGGCATATATTTGCACCAATATGGCTTTTAAGTCGCCTGATTGTTTCTCATCCTTCTATATAATTGTAGTTTTGATCGGCATGCACTGGAACTGTTAGAGAAGATGTTGACTTTAGATCCATCGCAGGTATGCTAAATGATTAATTCGTACTCCGTGCATTTTTTGGCTGCTATGTGTTGTCTACACCTATCATTTAGATCTGCTTTTCATGCGTCAACAAATTTTCAACTTTTTTTAATTATTCAGAGGATATCAGCAAAAGATGCACTTGATGCGGAATATTTCTGGACTGATCCCTTACCATGTGATCCAAAAAGGTACAATCAAATGGCAGTTCTTGTTACATTGCCACATAGCTCCTTTTTACCATCTTCTCCAACTAACTTCTAATTGTTTGCTTATACAGTTTGCCCAAGTATGAGGCATCACATGAATTCCAGACAAAGAAAAAGCGTCAGCAACAAAGGCAAGCAGAGGAGGCTGCAAAGCGTCAAAAACTTAATCATCCCCCGCCACATTCTCGTTTGCCTCCAATCCAGCAGCCTGGCCAAGCACATCCTCAAATCAGACCTGGTATGCACAATGTGCCTCCTGTGGCAGCTGGCCCAGGCCATCACTATGCAAAGCCCCGAGGACCAGGAGGTCCTAGCCGGTATCCTCAGGGTGGGAATCAAGGGGGAGGCTACAATCCGAACCGTGGAGGGCAGGGTGGTGGCTATGGCAGCGGCCCGTATCCCCAGCAAGGGCGAGGACCTCCTTACCCTGGCGGTGGAATGGGTGGAGCAGCTGGTCCGCGGGGCAGTGGTGGCAGTGGCTATGGAGCTGGCGGGCCAAACTACCAACAGGGTGGCCCATATGGTGCATCCGGTCCAGGTCGAGGACCAAACTACTCTCAAGGTGGCTCCCGCAATCAGCAACAGTATGGGAACTGGCAATAATATGGCAGGCAGTATCATGCCATTGAGATGTATACCTTTGCAGTTTAAGCATGCTGTGAGATGTATGCCCTGATTAGTACTGTAATACAGTCCAGATATCTCAAAAGCGCTGTTTGACTCCATATGTAAGATTATGATGATCGAGATATTCTTAGTACTTGAAACCATTGATTCACTTACTGGAAGGATGGCACGAAGATCTAGCAGAGTTTGCTATTAGCCCCATCTTCATGCTTGCATATCCTTTGCCAAAACAAAATGCTACTTAACGTAGCTTCTCTCATCTTCTTGCCGTGCGCAAACTTGGAATTAGGGATGCATGAAAGAAGCCTGAAGATGCATGGAAGAAGCCTAAGTTCAGAAATGAAACAAATTTGTTATGGTTGTGTGCAGTTTTGATATCACTCCAATGCTTAGCACATCTGTAACTAGTGAGATCGCAGATGATCCAGGAATTCAGTTATAATTTGATATCACACCCGGTGCCATTGAAAAGTTTACAGTGCCCAGCCTCTTACAAAAGGGACCCCGCAGGTCCACAAACTCCACCGACAAACATTTGAGCTCCTAACGTTCTCACTTAGCATTAGTTTTTTTTTCCCCTTCCTTATCACAAAACCTGTTTGAGATCACTTTGCTTCAATCACATTATGAAGCTTAAAACATGTTTGGATATCTTGACGCGACATATGCCTGTACAAACTGTTCGTTATAATCATGTTAGGTGACCTCTTTGTAACATATATGAATAGAATACATACACTCTCCAAATACGTTTCTGCAGCAGATCACA